TAATGGTATCTTTTATAAAAATTATTAATCTGTAGAGATTAAAGTTTATGAATATCTATGGAGATGAATCCCTATTTAAGGGTATATATAAAATTATAATCTATATGATTTCGGTGAACATTACAACTCCACTATCTATGAAACGCTGCATTATACAGATTGTCACTAAATCGTATAACGACACAATTCATTCACGCCGTGGAGGATTCCAAGGAGCTCGTAGTTTTCTTTTCGGCTCTTCCGAAATTTTCATCCCAACGGGCCAGGTTTGATACCACAATTCGCCAAACGGAAAGCAATCACATAAGCTCGTTGTAGCTCCACCGTTTCTGATGCACTCAGAATTTCCATCGCAGCTCGCACGAGTAGTTCCGCTCGATCGAATCGCCGATTCAATATCAGACTCACCACTGCTTCAGTAAGCACATAGGGTAATTCTGTCCGCTCGAGAGTTCTTAAAAATGTAATCACCGACATGGGACTTTTCGAACGATTTTCCCCACAAATTTCAGTTATAATCTTCATCGTTAAATCGTTGGTATTAACATCCTGTTCGCCACAATATTCATCGACAGTTTCTATGCACTTCAACGGTAAAGCGCAGCCTTCCGAGCCAAGCGTGATAAACACCGTCACGCGTGTCACAGTAGCATCGAACCACTTCTGGAGAATATCTTCAACACTAGTGCATTTCCCGAGGTCTTCAACTTCGACAATTTCAACTTCCAAATCCTTCCGCGTGCGGGAGAATCTTTCAAGATGCCCTCGCAAATTAATTACTTTCGCATTGACTCCGATCGATGATTTTTCTATGTCGGCCATAATTTTACGAGCTGATTTTCCACGGAATATAAACTGCTCATATGATGCCATACCACTCCACGGCTTAGTCATCATCAACTCCTTCTTGTCAAGCTCGACTTCATCTCGCGGTTCTTTCTGTGGTTGTTGTTGAATATGTTGTTGTTGTTGTTGTTGTTGTTGTTGTTGTTGTTGTTGTTTAGCAAACATCTCTCCAATTCGTCCCCGTTCGCGCTCTCGCCGTTCTTCTTTTCTAATTTCCTCGGCGTACTTTTCCTCGAGGCCAACTGGAGGGTACAAATGTACATTTGGAAGTATGTTGAGTTTCACCGCATCAACAACCCATTGTGGAGTAACAACGACGTAACTGAGCTCCAAAACAACCTAGATATTAATGGAGTTTTACTCGTTTTACGTGAAGTGACATGATACTCCATGTGAAAAACACCGAAAAAAATTACCCCATTTCACGTGAAACACTTTTTACGAGTTTTACGCGTTACTCGCTACTCACATGTATTTTTCGCAAAAATGTGAAATGTGAAATTCGTTTTTCATATCGTAGATAGAATTCGAATTTATAAAAATCTTACCTCCGTTGTCTCCCATTGATATCAGTGAGTTTTCGCCAAATCTGGTTCCCCAGAGCAACAGCGCTCGCCACAACATGTGTGACACTACGCATGCCGTATTGATGATACTCTCCACCGTGACTAGTCACTAGTCGTTGAATCTAATACATAAGTTTACAGTGCGTGGCAATATGCGATATACAAATGTGTGTAATTTTTTCCGAGATTAAACTATATCGCATATACAATGGCTATGAACATATGTTGTGGTGAAAGTACCCGTTTGGGACTGTGATGACAGCGACAACTTGTTCATTATAATTTGTCCGACAAAATAACACACATTTGCATCGAT